ATCACAATCTTTTGTCTCATTCTCTTCTTTCCCTTTCTCTACCTCTCCTTCCATATCTTCTACTGCTTCATAGTCTGTCTCTATCAATTAACAAATACACTGTATAACTAAGTTTAATATTATAATATTATGCATTTATACAGGTGATGGAATGTTATTGTTGTGATAGCTAACCGCTATTCACAGTTAGTATGTAAACAGTGTTATGAATAAGCTTACCACTAGTTTCATCACAAAAGTAGTCCCCAAGAACTGAAGCAACGTAGTCACTGACTCGAGGACCAATTTCTTCATTTAACAAGCGAGCAATGTCTCTTTCTGTAGCCATAGTTTTAAAAGTAGTCTTCTTTGTCTTTGTTATACTTTAAATAGTTGCTATAGAGACTCCATGGTTACCTAATGACGCATTAAAGCCCTCCGTTTTTATTCCGTGGTCGCTCCGTGTAACATTCTCCGTGCACAATCAAGGTAAAAATGTCGAAGGGCTTATAACTCGGCAAAGAAGGCTTCGCTACCCCTGATTTTGGTATCAAATGAAAGGATTTTGTTTATATAACATGTTTATGTGATAAAATGAATTTCGCCCAGGTAAATATTTTTCGTGATTATGAGCCCATAGCTCAAAATGATAATTCCCGCAGATAGCCTGGTTTTCTCATATCGGGTCACATTTACCTATTAGCTCTTAAAAGAACTGGTAATCACTTAGTCTGCGCACTGCTGAACAAGTAAGCAGAGAAAGAGAAGAATAGACTAGAGCGAATATTCACCCAGTGCAGTCACTATGGCAACTTTGAGCATGCGCATTAATTAAAAAATGGCGACTAATCTCAAGGGAGGTGATATCACTCCCAAATAACTAGTTTATAATTATACAAGATGAATTAAGATATGGAAAGTACCTTTGTAGTCCTTGACTCACGCTCCATGGAATGATGTGGAAGTCACCTGGAGCTGTTCTCTAGTTTAAGAGATTATCCGGTGTATAGAAAGAAGAAAAAGTCTGAAGAATTTAGCAGAAATTTGAATTTGGGCCAGTTATCAACAAAAGTTTCCGCTACATTACAGTCCACTTTAAAGGTACCAGGAGAATCGCTCAGTGAAGGAGAGCTCGTATAAGCCATTTATAAAGCCGTACAAGGTAAGATAGAAGAGTTATAATCATTTGAAAATTATAAATTTGGCCGCCATCTTGAAAAATCAACCTCAACCCTACATAGAGGCTACTGCCTATATAATATTAAAACTATACGTAGAAAAAGCCATAATTGTCAAGTGGTTGCCACATCTGAATGTGTCCTCCGCAACAATAACACAAAACCACATTCTACTTGTCCATTTCTGCACTCTCTTTCTTCTACCAGTGTCCTTTTTGCATGTAGTTTTGCTACATTTATTGTCAATTTGTGCCACATCTAATGCTGCACCTATAGTTGTATGCTGCTTCAGACATTCAGTAGCTCCAGTACTACTTTTATTTAATTTAAAATTACATTTATTATTATACCTTCACAGGCTGCAGAAGTTTCTTTCATGATTAAACTACTATTAAATTTTCTTATTCCCCCTAAATGATTTCAATCATAATAATTATTCCCTTTTTTTAATTATAGCTATTTATAAATCTTAGAACAAAATTCAACATATTCCTGAAGTTTTGTTGGAATTCTTGTTCTCTTTGCCTCTTTCATGTGTTTCACATAGGGCACTGCTTGTTACTGGCTCCTTTGGGCAACAATCTTTGTAATGTAGGAATCCATCGTAGATTGTACTTCCATCTGCTGTTCTCCACATGCAATGTGGGTAGAATATCTTCCAGTTACCATCAATCGAGTACAAGGTTCCACGGCCTAAATCTTACTCATAAAAATGGGCATACTTAGAAACCCCTGTTCCTCTTTTTCGGCAATCATCTGAGCATTCATTGTGTGGATAAATACTTACTGCTCTGCTTTTATCAATCTCATCCATCAGCTTTTCTCTACTCCGAACATTTTTCAAATAGGAGTGAATCTATCCTCTTTCCCTTAGTTCATCTTCTAATTTGGCATTCCAAAGTGCATGCAACAGTTTTACGATGTAGCAAGTGTATCTTGACATATCTTACAATTGACATGGCAGCATATATCAACTGGGGTATAAGGGATTTTGTTGGCCAGTCACAAATAATATTTGATACCTATGCTACTTTACATGTATTATGTGTAAAGTGTTCATATTTCATTTTTGTCTCCTGTAATTGCCAGTAGACCATCCCCCATGGTAGATGTTGCTGCCTTTTGACTCATAATAGCGATCTCTTAAACAGGCTTTGCTATGGATTGTACGTCACATCTATATTTTTTTGTAAGAGTGACTGAACAGTGCATAGCAATTGTCTGAGCAACCACATCAGTGTTCAAAGAACTTACCTTCTGTAGGTCTTCCTTCCTCATGTCATCACAAGAGGGAGTAGTAGAAGTTGCTGGAGCATAGATGTCCTTCATTCTAAATCAAGTTATGCTAGCTCCACAACAACTGCAGGATGAAATTGTGGTAGATTAGTATTTCTACTTCTTCCATATCCTCTACTTCTTCATAACTAATTTGTATTTATGAATTAAAATTTGCACTGCATAACTGAGTTTAATAAGACAATATTGGGCTTTTATACAGGTGATGGAATGTCGTTGTTATAGCTAACAGCTATTCAGTTAGTATGTAAACAAACTGTGATGAAAAAGCTTACCACTAGTTTCATGACAAAAGTAGTCCATAAGAATTAAAGCAACATAGTCACAGTCTTGAGGACCCATTTTTACATTTAACAAGCGAGCAATATCTCTTTCTGTACCCATCGTTTTCACAATAGTGTTCTTTGTCTGTGGTATACTTTATTTAACTTTGATGCATTAAAGCTCTCTGTGTTTCATGCTGTGTCAGTCCATGTAACATTCTATGAGCACAAGCAAGAAAAATGTTGAAGGGCTTATAACTCAGCTGTCGGGAAGCCAAGCCTGATTTTGTATTTCCAACCGGATGTGATGTTTATAGCAAAATGGCTGATGTTTGGTCAAGTTGCCCTTCTCAAAATTATGAAGGCTTTGTAACTGACAAAAAATATTTGTAGGCACCATTTTTAGTTCGTGTGACGTAAATGTTTAAATTTTTAACGACCTGGGGGTGAAGCCCCCAGGTCGTTCCTAAAATTGATTTCACCGTCGTGCTATCTATACATATATATATTTGTACGTCCACACTTACATTTCTGCTATACATGTTGTATTGGAGAAATAACAAGCCTTAGCAACCACCTGCTCACACTTCTTTAAGTGAGTGGGTGTGATCACGTGAAACAAAATGGCGGCTTACACATGGGACAAAGTTAAGATCTTTCTAACAGCAAGGGAACACAGAGATACTGTCTAAAGACTTCTCTAGAATCATTATAAGGTAGAGAGAACCTCTATAAGTCGTAGTAATGACCAAGTTGTACTTGCAAGATGGTAAAATCAATTATAGGACTATTTTTACACTGTTACGCTTGTTATTGCATTCTTTCCATAACTGCAAAATAGACACGAAGTGCATTTAAGCCATTAGAGAAAGTGGTAGAGAGAAAAAATGGCGGTGTAAAGTTGCATTTATTGATGTATAACTGGTGAACAGTAGTGATTGCAATCACAAGATATGTGTAATACAGTAGTAAAATATTTTTACGAGCTCGAAGTTTTGTGAATGCATTAATAAAAAGGGAAAGTTTTCTATGGTATTTTGTCCAGACTGTGTGTAGTTGTGAGCTATCTCAGGATATTCTGCACCTTCTATGAAGGAAGATTAAAGGTAAGCTGTTACAGGATACACGTAGAGTACATTCTGGTAATATGAGACGGTTTGTATTGTCAGACACTGCCTGTAATTTCAATGATAAAATTTAAAAATCTTAAGTGTCTCATAATTGGTGCATGTACTCTAAACATCAAGCGCCACAGGGCATGTCGTTTTTAATGCATTTGTATTTGTTGGTGAAGCATCTGTCTTACATTGACAACCTTTAGTGAGAAATAATACCATTTTTCTTATTGCCATTATAGTTTAATTTAATGCCTAATTGTCAGTTATCTTATCCTCATTGATGCTCCATCCAAAATATTTAACTGGGGACAATGTGACAACTGTGGCATGATTGCTCCTAGTAATTTAAAACCCTAATAGATCTCAGCCAGTGTCTCTGTAGTGCCTCAAATGAAGAGGGCAAATCATCCTGAAATGTTATTCTTGTCCATAGTTGCCCATTATCATGATAATAAAATCACTTATGTCTGTCCATTATGCTTTCAGATTCAAATGTTAAATTTAGGCCTGGTTGTGTGTTGCTTGGAAAGGCTTTTTGTTGCTAGACTATATATGCACTGGCCACATGCCTAAGGCATGCTAGGAAGCCATTTCCAGCAGGAGTTACTTTCAGGTTCAGCTTTACATCATGAGTGTTCTTTTGAAGATTGTCTTAGTTAGTTAAAGGTAGACAAGGAGCTGATAAAAGAATACTTGATGCTGTCTTGTAGTAGTTCTTTCTTAACAGGTAATGGAATTTAGCAATCAATGTTTTGACATTTCTTGTACTATTTTTAAAGAAACATTTGTGTTAAACAGCCTTGTAGCTCTTGTGACACGTCAGCTATGATTTATTTTCTTCCTTTCTGGGGTAACAGAACACGAGGGCAAATAAACAGCATTCCTTCAGTATCTTTTAAATATAGAAAGAATGTAATGATCACATTTGCTACCCAGAGACAGTTTAGCATAATGCCTAGTTATTTTTCTACTGGACTTATCTTTATAGCTTGCAGACATAATAATGGAGCGATTTTCTGGAAACGGAACGTAGGCATTGCCATTTTCAATTCCAAAATAAAATTAAGACTTTTAATTCACAATTTTCATAGCTTCTTCTCAGTATGACAATCTTTTCGTATAAAAAATATTGTAGTAAGTAACATTTTAGAGCTGTCAAATCCTAAGATTCTGTTTGACTAAAGAAGCTGCTTTTTTTCAAATTATATACATTCAGTGTGGCTTAGTGACTCAAGTTCTCGCATTTCACAGCTGTCACAAAACACGGTCTTTACTTCTTTTTGTTAAGGTAACCCTGGGGTTCTTTTCATTGAAAGAATTCATTGCTTTTTGGTCATAAGCACCATGCCACCATGTTTTATCCCAGTCTGGCTAGCAGAACGTTGACCATTTTGTTAGGATGCTTGCCTCCATTAGTTTTGTGGGTTTCCATAAGATACGATAAATATACTCTGTTGAGATCAAGAGCAGTTGCAGTTAACAAGATATTAGGCAGTTTTGATCTTTGGCGCACTCAAAGATATAACAGTACTTTACCTAGTCATGAAAATTAGTCAATAGTCATTTTGTGGTAGCTTGAGTGCTGACAAATGCAAATCCTATGGAGTAATGGTCTCGCTTGTCTGTACATAGCTTTGATCAAGCAAAGCCCGCAGCCTGGGTTGCCGGCAAAGGTAGCAATTGACCTGGCCAAGTGGGCTCTGTTTCAGTATCACTTAAGTACAACACCATTGGGACCATAAAGGTCCACAACAGAAAGTTTCGACAGATTTTCAAAAACAAATACAGACTAGTCTTAACTTTCTCCTCTTCTTACCATAATTTTTATCTCGTGTTGTGGCTTACAGCTCTACTGCACTCATGTGACCTAAAAAACAAAGTGGTGCTGTGCCTATTATATAAATTTGGTAAAGCATAGTTACAAATGCTGAACTCTGGCTTTTGTCATTGCTGTGACGTATCACTTGAGCTGTAAGGTTCTTGTGCCACGTAACACAGTACTGCAATATTCACTGTATAGCACTCCGAAGTATGCTTTAGTTTATACGGGAAACAGGTACAATTGTGAAGTATATTACACCATGCCAAAACTTCCGTGATTGAATAGTGTATACATATGTTGCAGTATTAATTCAGCAATAATTGCGTTAATAATTCAGTGGGAGCATTATTTCTGAAAACATGGACCGGCTGATGCATAATTTTTAGTTAAACGAACGTTATCAATGCAATTATTTCCTCTGTAGTTCCACCGTTTGCAAACTTACAATATATAAAGTCACCTTTACCAATCCTATAGTGAACAGAATTTTTGATTGTGCCTACAGTAGGTGCTACAGGATATTTTTTATTGATACCGTCTATTCTTCATTATACCATGGTGCGTGGGTGGTTGCCATGGAAACCTTTGATGTCTAGCGGGAGTTATATGCCCATAACCACCCTGCAGACAGTGTGGAATTTTACAGTTTACATAATGAAAACATTGACAAAAATGAATCACTAATAATCAAGGTTACATAGAGCAACTAGCAACAAAAACAGCCTAAGTGTAAATTAAAATTAAATGTCATGTTGCCTGCAGAGAATGTACCAGGAGCCAAATTTTGCATAGCCAAAAAAGGATTTCTTTCATGTAGGGCTTGACACTGCTCAGGAGGATTAATTACTTTATTAGGAAGTGGTACAGGACTAGTAATTTCATCCACAGCTACTCTTTTTGATGGTGGTGGTGGTTGAAGTATATTTGATACTTTCTTGAAGTGCTCATCTCCAGGCCTTTTATACTGACGAACAGC